CAAACTAATCAATATAAAACTATATTTTAACTCTGAATTTTATCTATATGATGATCTGAACGTAGATTTCGACAAAAATAGAGTCGCCATCTTGTATGATATGTTTACACGTTTCCGTAAATTTTATTATTATCAACTGCATCACAAAAACAGCGAAACGCTATTCAATCTGAAAGAGTTTAAAAATGGTTATACTGTAATAGTCATTGACTGTTCGCGACAAAACGACACCATCAAGAGCGGTCCTGTGGATGTGCGTTTAGAATTTGAACTGAAAGAGAATGCGCCCGAGGATACTTGCGCGTATTGCCTCATTATACGATCGCGTGGTTGAATATAACCCATTGTCCAACATAGTGCGCAAGATTGTATAAATTGCTGTGCTGACAAAAATAAAAAAGCGAGATGTTTTTCAATGAAGCGCATCTCAAAAAATCGCTCGTCATGATCGTACCGACGTTTGTCGATCTGCAAGGTTTCATCGTTGGAGGAAGATTTGTCGTGAAGGAAGTGGCGGTAGTAGGAATATAAGGCCGGTTCTAACTCGGAAGCTCTGAGGGAAGTGAGGGGGAGGGGGAATTTGCGCGGGGGAATGACGTCACAGGGGTAACCGCCGAGATGTTTACGTAAACATGGGCCATGTATGTTTACGTAAACAATGATAGCGGCGAGCCCTGCGAGAATATGAGAGGGGGGATGACATCACCGATTGTTTTCGTGGGGATTGCGCGCCCCCGCCGCACCCTCGCACCACCGCCGCACCCCCGCACCCCCGCCGCACCCCCGCGCCCCCGCCGCACTCCCGCGCCATCGCGGGCCGCGTTCGCGGGCCGCGTTCGTGGGTCGCGTTTTCGCGCACGCGGTTCCACGCATAGCGTGCCCATAGCGCGCTCTCCCTCCCACGCATAGTGCGCCCATAGCGCGCTCTCGCTTTCACGCGCTCTCGCTTACGCGCACGCGGTTTCCTTAGCGTTCTCATCTATAGCGCGCTTTCCCTTCCACGCATAGCATGCCCATAGCGCGTTCTCGCTTACGCGCACGCGGTCTCACGCATAGCGTGACCATAGCGCGTTCTCTCTCCCACGCGTTTTCGCGCCCATAGCGCGTTCTCGCTCCCACGCGCTCTCGCTCTCACGCACGCTGCCGCGCCGCCGCCATGCTTACACGCACGCGGTCTCCCTAGCGGTTTCCCTCGCGCTCTCGCTCCCACCCGTTGCACTCGCACCTTTTTCGCTTCCGCGCTGCCGCGCCGCCATGGAAAGGATGTAGTATTAATTGCGCAAATATATGTTTACAAGTATATGTGTATTATAAAACATATAATGATTACTATGAAATATCTGAGAATTACAAGAAGTAATGATCGTAGTATCAAGAAAAATATATAGTTTTACAAAATACGTATAAAATGAAATGTATAAAATAAAAATGTCTCCCGTTTGGAAACGTTACATTCGGTTCCTGAGATGTTCTCTCGAACGCCAGGGGGATCGTCGCGAATAACGCTTTTCGGGGGGATGCGAATGCTGGGGTGAATGACATCCCCTCGATTTCGTAGGGAATTGCCTGTGGTACCTTCCGTTCCTCCTGCCCCTTCGCTTCAAGGTGCGGGAGCGTTTGAAATTGCGAGAAGGTATGACGCCTCCTCGAATGTTGCGTTTAAAGGAAGGCACGTAGATGCCTCCTCGAATACAGATCGGAAGAGCACACG